TAAAATAAAAGAAAGAGTGTACATAGTATAACAAGAGAAATAAATAATTTAATATTAACAAAGGAATTATATATAAAAAATGAAGTTTAATTAAAAAATAGAAATAAATCATAAGTTCAAATGCTTCAATTAGCATTAAAAATATTATAAACTAATAATTTAATTAAAATATGCCGATAATATCTATACTTTTTATATTTTAATTTAATTAAGAATTATTAAGTATAGTAAAATTATTAATTTCTACAATAATACTAATAATAACTTTAGATTTGTACATTTTTTTTTCATTGAGTCAACCTGTTTAAGCAAAAATTCATACATTTGATTGCGACTTCATATCTAAATTAAAATATTAAACATTAATCTTTAATTAAATAACATAAATATTATTAAATTACATGTACTAAAAAATTAATATGAATAGCTTAACATCTTGACACTCATAATTAATGGGGGTAAATTTGTTTTCCAAATACTTCTATCTTGATTATATAAACTTATTACGTTGTTTAAAATGTATACTTGTGTAAACCCCGTTGTCATTCTACCACAAAATATATATATACACTTTCCTCATATTTAATTAATGTTTGGTGTGCGGAACATGTGGTTTGGAAAACTTGCAAATGGTGACATAATTGTTAAATTATAGTAACATGTAGATGTATACAATCAACAAGTCATTTTATTTATTTATTTATTTTTATCTCCTATATGTGGCAGTGGCACGATTCTTAGAAACTACTCACCCTGGTCAAGTGCCTATTTCCGCGCTAGCTTTCTTTGTTCATGAGCTTTCGCATTTTGTCCAAGGTTCCTATTGTTAATAGAAACAACTTGTGTGCTTGACCTTGTTTTTTCAATTCTATATTTTTGCTAAACATATATAGTAATAACTTTGATAGATTAACACATTCAATTCAATCATTTTTTTTTGTCATGTAAAAGTTTTATACAATTATAAGTTTGATTATGTCCATCTTGGCTCCTGCTGTACATACTACTAATAATAATAATTATATTCGTAACATAGTTTAGTACATCTTAGCTATGATATAAATAGCCTCCAAACAGTTAACGTGTGGGTTTTTTCCCGCACCGTCGAAGCTGTAGGCCACACCAAACCTTCCAAACGACACAGATCACAACCATAACATGAAACTCTGTTTCAGTTCAACCGCACACTACTGAATCTTGAAAGGAATAGTAGCTGAACCCGTCCAAAATTTAGTGTAACATTTATTTATTACATTACCAATTGTGTAACAGAGGTGAGTCCATTTTAATTTCACGCGTTTGTAGGTCCAAGGTAGAAACTACTAATAATTACCATATTAAAAAAACAAAACAATGCATTAAGTTGTGATACAATTGCGTACTAGCAACATTTTACTAACATTCATCAATAAAGAATGAGTCCCTGTCCCACCACACACAGCACCCTCTGCACCCTCCTTTATTACACATCTGGGATCCTCTCTATTCCACTCTCTCTCATTTACACAAACACCTTCATAAAAAAAAAAAGAAGTTCAAAAATCAAAATAGAAGCTTCACCCTCACTCTGTCTCTCCCTTAAGAGTCTCTCATGGCTCTCTTAACTTCCCTCCCTGAGCAAGCCACCCCCAAACACCACAAACGTAAGCAGCAGCAGCAACAACAACAACAAAAGCAAAAACAAAAACAAAAGCAAAAACAGAAACAGAAACCACCCTCTTCATGGGACCAAATCAAGAACCTCATCACCTGCAAACAGATCGAAGGGTCGAGCGTGCATGACCCTTCCAAAGGGTACTCAAAGCTAGGATCTTCTTGCAGCTCCATATGCAGCTTCAGAGATGTTGTCCATGGAAACACACGTGTCGTGCACACCTCTGATAACTCCTCACCAGAGAGTAGCTCACTGGGTCAAGAAACTGGCTTACTCACTAGAAAACCTGTCACTACTACTCGCTCTACATCAGGTAATTCAATTCCCACTACAAATTTATTTGTTTCGTTAATTCTAAAATCATATAGCTTTTAAATGAGGTTTCAAATACAGTGTAGTAAAAGAAAAAACTTAACTGAAAAGTGAGACATAGTTAGAAGTGACAAGTGAAATTCTTCCATAAATACAAAAATCTATGAATATTTATACTAATAACATTGTTAAATAAAAATTTCTAGAGTCACAGAAATTTTGATATAAATTGTTTTTTCACTAACTTTAAATTTTCTTCTAGTATCGAGAAAATCCAACGGCGGAGCAACCTATACTCCATCATCTTCCAGAGGAATGCAATTCAGGAAGCTATCTGGGTGTTATGAATGTCACATGATCATTGACCCTAGCAGGTATGAACATATATATACTTCAAGTTAATTAATTCAAATCTCTCCGGTAATTCCTTTTTATAATGAAACACTTAAATTAATGAAAAAATTACTACAAATTCAGGTTGCCGATTGCGAGGAGCTCTGTGTGTGCTTGCTCTCACTGTGGTGAGGTATTCCCTAAAATGGAAAGTTTGGAGCTGCATCAAGCTGTTCGTCATGCTGGTACTCTTTAATTTCGCTCTATTTTTTCTTTTTATTTTCAGAAAAATACAATCATCAATAATTCCATGCTAAATGCACTACTATGCGATTTTAATTATTCTCATAGTATATGCACTGCTACTAGCAAAAGCCAAAGTCTGGTGTTTAAATTTGGTCAAAGGCAGATACTAATTAATCAAGTCATTCGAAAATTGATTAGAGAATAAAAAAAATATTTTTTTTCATTATAAAGTAAAATGTTTATTGTATAAAAAATGTAAAAATTACTAATGCAACACTTTTTGTTTTCAAAAGTAATTAAAAATAGTTGATAGAATGTATTTAATGTTCTTTAGCTAATTCATTTAAGGCATTCATATACGATATTCTTTGTCAAAATAACTTAATTCGTTTGATTTCCATGAAAAGAATAATTAAAGTCCAATAATAATGTTTTTTTTCCCTTCTTTTTCATTCCTTAATACTCCTATCATGCAGAGTACTTCACTTTATCGAGCAAGAGAGAGGACTTTAGTTTGGCTACGATGTACTCTAGTCGGATATAAATCTGATGTTTTTGTCCAAGCATAATAACAATTGTGTCTAAATCAATGTTAATTGATTGAATTGCCTTGTGCTTGAGGGAACTTGTTTGTGGGGTTAAAACGTAAAGTAAGCTTCGAAATTTGAAACATGGACTCCACCACCCATGCATGTCATGATGCTGCTTGCATTCGAACTGTTTCTCCGTTAATCTTGCTCTTCGATTTTCCTTTCTTGCCCTCCCACACTAATCAAGTTTTCTAATGATATTTACTCCTCTTAATAAAAGACTAACATACACATGATCAATAATTAAAATCGTCTTAAAATGTTTGAAAAACTTAATTAGTTTCTTAGGTTTGACTGTTAATCACTGACAACACAATTAATATTGCTCTCCCCCGTAAATATTTTAAAAAAAGGAAAAACATTGAATCACCTCTTCAGCATTCACAAGAATTCACCCACCAAAATTTCAGTGCTTTATAGTTGTGGGGGCATGGTACCTGTAGATAACTTGTGTTGTAAGAGTATAGTACGCACCAGATCACAGCTGTCTGCTGTGAGATAAATGATCTGCCTCCACCACGTGCCACCTCTTTATTCGTCCACACCCCACCACCCAAATATAACCAAAATTTTCACTTACTAGTTTAAAAAATTGTAGAATATTACAATCTTACTTTCAAATATGATTATCAATATTATCTGTCTCTCCAATTAATTATATTATAGTATAATTATTGTTCTGAATAGTATTTAGTTTTTTTTTAAGGCTAATTTAAATTTGTAATATTGGGAAACAGTTTCGGAGCTGGGAGCGGAGGATTCGGGTCGGAACATAGTGGAAATAATATTCAAATCGAGCTGGTTGAAGAAGGACAACCCGATATGCAAGATCGAACGGATCCTAAAAGTGCACAACACCCAACGCACCATCCAACGGTTCGAGGAGTGCAGGGACACGGTAAAGAGCCGTGCGCTGAGCAGCAGCAAGAAAAACCCGCGTTGCGCAGCCGACGGCAACGAACTCCTGCGGTTCCACTGCACCACCTTAACGTGCGCACTGGGCGCACGTGGGTCGTCCTCGCTGTGCGCCGCCGTGCCCGCCTGCGGAGTGTGCACCATCATCCGCCACGGCTTCCAAGGCGCCGACCACGCCAAGCTGAAGGGCGTGAGGACCACCGCCAGCAGCGGCAGGGCCCACGACGCCGTGCTGTGCGGCGGCGACGCCACGCGGAGGGCCATGCTCGTGTGCCGCGTGATCGCAGGTAGGGTGAAGCGCGTGGCGGAGGACGCGCCTTCGGATGAGGAACACGTGTCGGTTGCGTCGTATGATTCCGTAGCTGGATACGCTGGAATCTACTCGAATCTCGAGGAGTTGGTTGTTTTCAACCCGAAGGCTATCCTTCCTTGTTTCGTGGTCATTTATAAGGTTCTTTCGTGTTAGGCGTTAGCAAAATGTTATATTAATTTCGTAATACTTATGTAGTAGTAGTACAATGTTTCAATTTTCGCACCTCCACCAAATAATAACAATGAATAAGTTACTAGTTGTTAATCTGTGGATTTGAGGTTGCAACTTGATGACTAGTAATTTATTGATCGTTATTCGTTATATATATATGGGGTGTGAAATGTGAAAGTGTAAGAATGAATATCTTATCTGAATATTGGTTGTTGGATCAGTGATGGAATTAGAATGTTGTTATGTACTTTCTTTCCTTCGGTTTCTGCTAGTTCTGCCATGCACACTCATGACGCATGACCCATCCACGGTGGCATGGAAGGTGGAAGTGGAACCCAGTTTTATGTCAGCTTTGTGAATATCCCAGTTAGTTTTACAATGTCTCACCACACTTTATTTACTGAATCAATGGCTTTTCGCTCAACAGCTAAATTAACTGAACGGGCTTCTATTTTTTTTTATTTTATGTATTTTCTTTAAAAAGTACTGTAGTTGATTCACATGGAATTAAGACTCAGTCTCTTAAATTACATGTTCATGTTTTGTTGATTAAAAAAAAGTCACTAATAAAAAAGTGTCACTTGCAAATTTTCCTGTAAAAAAATATTCGTAGAAATTTTTTGTGAATTTTCTTATAAAAAAAATATTCGTAGAAAAAATAAAAAAAAATATATTTAAATTTATAAGTTAAAATTTTAAAAAAATTTCAAGTTCCACATCGATTAAAAATAAAGCAATTAAAGAATATATAAGTTAGGACAACACTTACCTTATAAGTTGATTTATATGGTTGAGTGTTACGCTTATAATCTACAATCTTAGAATTTAAAAAATTATGTATCAGATGTTGGAGGCATGAAAACAAATGCTTCGGATGAATTCATTGTGAGTATTTGAAAGTTAAAAAATTTATAGTAATTTCTTTAATTTTTTTCATAAAAAATATTCCTGTAAAATTTCTTTCAAAAAAATTCGCAGGAAACTTTCCTGCGAATTTTCCTACGAATTTCTTTTTGCAGGAAACTTTCCTGCAAATTTTTTTTTTGCAGGAAAGTTTCCTGCGAATTCTTTTCGCAAGAAATTTCACAGGAAAATTTCCTGCGAATTTTAAAATTCGCAAAAAAATATTATCCACGAAGGTATTACCCGCGGATAAAATTTTGCAGGAAAATTTACAAGAACAACGTTTCCTGCGAATTTTTATGAAAAATTCACAAGAAAAGTCACATGTAATAAGAGAAATTCTAATAGTGAGTTAAGAGTCGTGCTATTAATTAATACTTCACATTGATTTAAAAAAGAATTATTGTTAAATTATACTGTGTTGATAAATATAGTAGCTGAAACTATGATTGTCTTAATGTCGTGCACTTTTTGGTTACTGGGTAATTAAATGAAGATATCGATTGTTCATGTGACGAAGACAGCATGCCATAAATGAGTAAGCGTACACAGCTCAAGCATTAAAACATTGACTCGTTGTCTTCAAAGCACACTATGATCAGGAAGGACCAGTAATAATTAGTAAGTCCACGCTTTTCTTTTTCAATTTTCTATATGTAAACCAGAGGAAAAAGTCTTTGCCAGAAATTGGAAAAGAGTTAAATCCAAATAAAATATTTTACAAGCTTGTATCCTAATATATTCAAAGCAAGTAAAGATATGAACCTCAATCACTTTGATCAGCAACGCAAGAGGGTACAGTTTGTAAAAGATAATGTGATGATGCCATGAAGAAATATTTCTTCTCCAACCTAAACACAAGTATCTCGGTAATTAACATCGTTTCACAATTTATGGAGACATAATGATGTTGGTCAAATTGACGAGGTATCAAGCAATAATTGAAAGAAAAACAGGAATTGGAAAACAGAGGAGATAGCAGGTTGCGACGTGATCGGTTTCGGTTGTCCACTTTTCGAAGCAAGGCATAATGAAGAAGATAGCTTTTCCAATATTCCTTTTTATTTTGTTTCTTTTTGAAGACTTGGGGCATTGGAGAACACAAGATGATATAATTGCCAACACATGCGCGAGCACATGGAGGTTCACTGTTTTTTCTCTCTGTCTGGTGCATTTGTATTTTGGGACAAGTCATGCATACCAAAACAATAGTTTCCCACCGAATCTAACATCCCACAATGCCATGTTAGAAGAGTAAGCAATGCTTTCATTTTCTTAATCATAAATTAAGACTGTTTTTTCTTTGTAGTACTTTTCCGCAGCAAAAACGACAAATTTGGGTTCATGGTTTTCTTTTCGTTACCACCCCTAATGTCTAATGATTCTCAAAAGCTATAGCGACTTTAGATGATCATCCTGTAAATCTACTATCATGAAGAAAAAAAAATTATTTCTCACTCGGTCTTTGCTTTTTGTTTTTTTTCCATTAATATTTCTCAGATAGTTCTTTTTTAGAAAAAAATATATATATTACTGTATTGTAAATCTAAGTTTACTTTAATATTGTCGGCAAGTTATATCGACTTATAGATATGAGTAATGTTATATGTATGTTATTACAAATCTTCCTAACATCATATAAAGAAAATATTAAATGGGAAAATATGTATTTAATAACTAATGTATGATAAAATATTCTTGATATAAATGTTTTAATATTTTTTTGAAAGTGACATAGAATCGTTTTTGGATAATTAATTATATTAATAGTACGAATCAATCAATTTTCTTAATAACTTATTTTTATTGAAGAACTTGAATAACTCATCTTTAAACTTAAGTAAATCTTATTATTCATTTTTTTTTTCATTTACAAGATTCGAGCTAAATCCTTAATTAAAGGAATCAAATTTAGTTCTACTTAAACAAATTTTTTTTTTTACATAAAGTAATGTAAGTAATGTAGACCGCTGGAAAGAAATGTTTCTTATGTTTAGTAAAAAAGAATAAATATATTTTTTTGAATATAAAAAGTTTCTAAGGATGATATAGGAATGGCAAAAATACCCGCACCCGTGGGTATCTGCGGGTAAAATTCGTTACGGATAATAAATAGATAGACTAATTGGGTACATATCCATACCCGCGGGTACCCGTTCTTAAATATCATAATTATACTTGTATCACATAACCCTAAAACTACACTCTCTCATCTTATTTTCTTACAAAAGTGAGGTTGATGAAGTTACCAACATGTGTTAAGCATGTTATAGAATTATGTTGGATGTAATTTGATTAAATTTCTAGCTTTGATTAGACCAATAAAATTTATGTATTTTAAGTTGTTTGCTTTCGTTTGGAATTATGAGATTGAATTATTGTAGCTTTGTGATGAGACTTTAACTTACTTGTGAAATTGATGTATTTTAAGTTATTGATTATCTTGCATTTTTATTATTATTTCAACAAAATTAACGTTAAATACAAGTTCAAAATTAACATTGAATTTTTATTTTTAATATTTCAATGACATTAAATATAAATTTAAAATTATTTGTAATTAATTTTTTTAATTTCTTAAAAATTTATAAATATTCATGGATATCCATGGATATTCGTGGATATTCAAGAAATTCATAGATACCCGCTTAATGAATACCCGCGCAGATATGGGGTGAGTATGAAGCCAATTTTCATTCACCGGGACGGGAGAAGTTTACTATTACCCGTCCCCACGGGCCCCATTGCCATCTCTAGGATGATAATTTGTGAATAAGTAATCGATTGTAACTAACTAAATAAATTATATATTTCTAGAAAAGTTAATTAAATAGTAACTAAAAATATTTTTATAATTTTTTTTTCAATAATTTATTACTAAACAAGCTCACTTCGTAGTAAGCGAATTGGTAATAAATGATGTTTTTATCTAATGTCAGCTTAGATATACATTATTATAAAAAATCAAATATAATGATAGATTTTAGAGACAAAATTTTGTCGAAAGACAAATTTGATTCATTAGAAATGAAATTTAGAGACGAAATATGTTGTTGGAAAATTTTCCAAAAACAAATTTGATTAATTAGAGATGAAATTTAGAGACGAAATATTTTGTCTCTAAATTCTCCCATCAATTTTAGAGACACGCTATCTAAAGAGATCGAGAAATTGTTTATGTTGATAGATCTTCTCATTTTGAAAATTTTAAATATAATAGAGACGGGAGTGATTTTGTCTCTAAGTTTTTATTTTCATTTGTAAATAAAAAACTTATATTGTCATGTTTAACAATTTAATTAAGTCAATTTTGTAATATATTTTACTTAGAGAAACTCTAATGGGAGTTGCTTGTCCTATGAAGCAACTCAAGTCCCGGTTTCTTGTCATTGGATGACTCTGACGTGACAATATGAGTTGCTTGAAGAAGAGAGAGAGTTGTTTCCTCAAGCAACCGTTCCTTACCAGATTTCAAGCAGATTTTATTGAACATATTTGGGAACGTTTCAGAAATAATAATGATGAAAATTAATTTTGTAAAATGTCTATATATTTACTATTGCTTTATTTTATTTTTAATATCTACTTATTGTGTATTTTTTTCTCGTAATTTATTTTCTTTCATTGTAGTGCAATTATCCTTTTTAATAAAAATTTAAAATTGGTTCATAAATGATTAGAAAAAAAAAATCTAAAAGTTGAATTTCTTAAAATTTCATACCATTGGAGTAAATTTGTATTTGAGTTGCTTAATACTGACATGACACACTGGGGACCACTTTTTTTCATTTTTCAATGCATGAAGAAACTCATTTGAGTTGCTTCCATTGGAGATATCCTTAACGTAGTGCTTGTTTCGGGTGATTTACTGTTTACGAGCAACGAAAGGCGAGGAAAGTTGGCGTTTGTTTCCACCGATTTGCGACGATGGAAAGGCGAAGAAAAGCGAGGAGAAGCACTGTTGCTCTCCTCGCACGAGAGGGAAGAAAAGAGGTGAAAGACACGTAGAATTTGTGAAAATCCGAAAATGCCCCTCCCATGCATGTGCCATGCAGCAGAGGATTCACGTTCAACGAAGGAGCATAATCGATTGGCCACATAATCGATTATGGCCTTGCATAATCGATTATGGGTGAGGCATAATCGATTATGCAAGGCCATAATCGATTATGGTTGGCCACATAATCGATTATGGTTGGCCATATAATCGATTATGGCCTTGCATAATCGCATAATCGATTATGGGTGAGGCATAATCGATTATGCAAGGCCATAATCGATTATGTGGCAATCATAATCGATTATGCAGGGTATTTTCGCTGCCAGTGGAAATCGGAACGGCCCCGGAACGGC